AATCAACATGATTTTTGATACGCATATAGTACTCAACAAGTTTTATACATTAAACGATTCGGATTATCGAAACAGGGCCTGTGATGGACTCTCACTGGCCCAACAATACTCTCCAATCCGATCACGACTAGAGGAAAGCCCAACCCATTGTGGATTATCTTTTCGGATATTCTTTTTTTGGCAAAAAAAAAAAACAATGATAACAACATTCAAGGCTGCACACTACAAATATTGCTAATATTTATAATTTTTTTATTTACTATATTTGATTATTGTATGTGGCATTGACCAACAAAAATTAGTGAAATTTATTACTAGTTTATATAATATTAAACTTGTACAAAATCCGATTGGCTAGGGGTACGACTTAAATAAAGTGACTTGGATGTGTGGCATATATATTAAGGGTCGGTCCAGTCAATGATCTGGACAAGAGGGCATTGGCTGGTCTTGTAAGCCTCATCATAGGTTATATTTTGATAATTTAAATTATTTATTTTATAAAAAAAATTTGTTTATATTATCCATATAAGAAATTAAATTGATTTGATAATCGTAACTTATTTAATTTATCATATTTGTTTTTAAAAAAAAGACAGTAAGTGCATTTTTTAAAATAAACTATCTATTTTTTTAATGACAAACGCAATAAATTAAAAATGTTACGATTATTGGATCAACTTAACTTTTCATGTAAATAATATACATAAAGGGGCTTACAAAGTAAACGGTTTAAATTATCGAAACGAAACTCATGCTAAACTCTACAGGTTCGAACAGCACCCTCCAATCCAGATTTGGACTAGAACCAATCCAAACCCTTATTAAAGTCTATTTTAAAAAATTATTAATATAAATCAATTGATGTACTTGTAGATTTTTTTAACATTTTAAGATGCATCATATACATTATTTTGTAGTTATAAATTATATATTTTTAATAGCTGATATCGATCGTTATTTTAATAAAATTTTTAAATTAGTTTTTTGTTTTTTATGAGCTTTGTAATTTTATTTTTTTTGTTTTTTGTTTTCAAAATTAAAAAAAAAACAAAAAAATTAATAAAAATACTAATTCACACAAAGCCTAAGCTTAAGTAAGAGTCTAATGGGAAATGATTTTCCACTAACTTTGGCTATCAAGGCATTAGCTAAGCATATCTCCTTCTTTCTTCTTTTTTTCTTTTTTCTTTTTTTTGGATTAAGTGCTAAGCATATCTCCTTCATGGATCTCAATTACACCCTTAGATCATAAATAAACGAATGTAGTCTTAACAAGAGATGGACATGTGACATTGGCTTCTTTGGCCATCACCATAGGATTGTTACTTTTTAAATATGCTTATTGAAAATTAAAGAAAGACAGTCAATTTTTTTTATGTACTTCGTCAGTGAAGTTAATAATTCTCTTTTCAAAATAGTAAAAAAATAATTTCTTTTAATCAAATATATATATTCTTAGATCATCATCAATAATGATCCTTTTAAGCTAATTTAAAAAACCCGATCACACAAAATCCTAGTCCAAATACCTCCTTAGGTGTTGAATACACATGTAATCAATCAAACACACACATAAATGTTTGAATTTGAGAAATAGGTTAAAAGTCGGCTTTTAAATCTTTTTTATAAAATTAAAAAAAATATACAAAAAAATAAAGAGATGATGTGACTTAAAAAAAAAAATTCAAAAACCAGACTTTTAGGACATTTTCACCCTTTTAGGATATTTTCAATCCTCAATTTGAGATGTTCTCTATGACAAATGTTTCATTCATAGAGTATGGCAGTTATGGTAAACTTCTTTCATCATGAATAGGTAAATAGACAAAAATTTATAAAACTTAAAAACAGATAAGATTAAAAAAAAAATCATTCAAACTTGATTTAATTAAAATTTATTTAAAATCAGTCTGAAAACCATAATTTGAAATTGTTTAAATTTTAAAGTAAAACGCGTACTATAAAATTCATGTGTGAAATTAAGAATAAGTGAAAGTCATAAATTTAATGAACATAAAAATAAATATTTAAAAATATAAATTACATTTTATTTCCTTATGTTCGATCATTTTTCTATTTTGACCAAAGTTTTTTTATTTTTTATTTTCTCTTATTTTAGTTTTTCATATTTCAAGTTTTTTTTTTTCAATTTGATCCTAAAATTAATTTTGGCTTAAAATTAGACAAAAAATACTAGGTTAGTTGCCACATGATATAAACAATATACTATTATATTGAAATCTGGATTTGTGTGATAAAATATGTGTATATTACATGATTATAAATATGTTATTTTTTATCTAATTTTGAAATTTGCATGCACAATTTAAAATAAACCGGCTCATTGTGACTTGTATTTAGGGAAAAAAAAAACAATAATAATAAATGAGAGGGTAATTTTGGTGAAAACTGGGCAGAGCTATGAGAAGGACATTATGACCCAAAGCACGAAGGGCTGGGTAAAAAGGCTGTAAGATTACTCCGGCCCAAGAGAGGTAAAAGATTACTCCGGCCCAAGAGAGGTAAAAGATTACTCCAGCCCAGAAGAATTGTAAAGTTACTTCGGTCCGGAAGCAACTTGTCGTTAGGCCAGTCTCAGAGTTAGTTCGGTTATAACGTATTGCGGTTAGAATGGTCATAACCTTGCTACTCGGAAGCTCGGTCTAAACATACCATGTGTTGTACAATGAGAGAACCGAGATAAGGTGGAGTAAAAGGAAGAACCGAACTAAGGATAGTCCGGCCTACTCTGTGGCTCAGCATAGCCAGTTTTATTTCGGTCATGTTGTGGTTCGGCCATGGTAAAAACCATCTCACTTGGTTTAAGCGGTGAGGGGTGTTAAAAGATAAGCATTATCTTTCAAGAGTATGAATCCTAGGAGGACTCTGCGTTGAGGAGTAGAAGTCCTACTAGAATTGTGTCACTCGAAGCCTATAAAAGCTCACAAACATCACCTTTGGAGAGGTAACACACAACTTTGCTTTCTGAATTCACAGAGCTTTGTCTATTTGTCAAGTTTGCTGACTTAGGCATCGGAGAGGTTTCCGGCACACACCCGCCGGCTAGTTCACGTTTATGTTTTCAGGTGATAAGGCGACGTCGTACGGAGGAGCGCAGACTTAGTCAACAGAATTATACGAGAAGGTTTATTTCTTTCCCGTATAATAAATTAAAAATTCATTATAAAAAGTGATTTCATTCTCTTTATTATTTAACGTATTTTTATAAAATTCAAAAAATAAAGTAATTCCAAACGAACATGCACTTGTAACAAAATTGAGGCGCTACGTGGAGAAATTATTGGTTGATCTAGTGATAGCCTCATATGGTATTTTGGGTGTGTTTGATTGGACAGACTGGAAAATGGGGGATTAGAATCCATCGGACTTGAGTCTTGGGGCTATGAATCCCCCGGACTATTTGGTCGGATTGGATATGTATCCTGTGTTTGTTTTTTCATGGGATTAGATGTCTGGATAGGACTATTTTCAGTGAATCCAACGTTTGGTTGGACGGACTGGATAGGATAAATGAACAAAAGACTATTTTACCCTTTTTCAATTGTTTACTAAGTAATAGCAATATTAAACATATCTTTAATATTTTAATTATTTTTAGTAAACATTAAACATACTAATGGTTAAATTTTGTTTAAAGATATTTAAACATACTAATATTGATAAAAAAATTTGACTGGTATAGATTATTTTTATTTAAACAAATAAAAATTTATTGTTGAAATTAAACATACTAATGGTTAAATGTTTAAATTTTTATTTAAACAATTAACATTGAAATTATTTTGATGTACAAATTATGTTTAAACAATTAACAATTAACTTAAATAAATTATAAACAAAATTTTAAAATAAAACATCAATAAAATATCTATAAAAAATTATTTTAAAAAATTAAATAAATAAAACATCAATAAAAAGTTAAATAAAATTATTTTATTTTTAAATTGAGACATTTAAATTTTATTGAATTTTATTAAATATAATACATAATTAAATAGTAGAGGGTCAAAATAGTCATTTTCGCATCTAATCCCAACAGTGAATAGTCCCTCACATTCTATCCCATCCCGTCATAATAGTCCCCCATATGGGGGACATGGAGTCCGGCCGGACTCCATGTCCGGCGGACTAAAAAAAAATCAAACGGCGGATAAGGAATACTATTTGGATTGTAATCCAAATAGTGGATAGTCTCCCCTCCAATCCCCCCAATCAAACACGCCTTTGTGTATTGTGACCAGTGGAGGATATAGAATTTATGATTTTATATTTAATAATTGAGAAACATAAAAAGTATGGTGATTTATAGCGTAGGGTGGGCTGTACTAGATAATTACAAGACTCATACCGTATGGTGGGCTGTACCAGATAAGAGACTCCAATCAGTGTTGGGGTACACTTCATTATTGAAATATATGATTAAGTAAATAATTATCACTATCACGATGTCAATAATAATTATTTTTATGATTATTTAATCAATGGTGTTATATATCTTAATTATTAGTGTATCAATGTATATTATAACTTTAAAATTGTAGACCTTATTTATTATATAAATTATAAAAATTTAAAATAAATAAAATTACTATATTACATCATTTATAAATATATTAACTAATATAACAATTGATACCTGTAATTTTATTCTTATTTAATTCTCAAATCCAATTTTTTTAATAATTATTATCTTACCAAATCAATTATTACTTTGTTTTTATCAAAAAAATAATTAGTAGGCTCTATTTAGGACGATTTTTAATTAAGGGATGTTTTCTTATATAATCTATCTTTTTATTTTTTTTTATCACATTATCTTTTTATTTTTCTCTACTTCTTCTCATAAAAAAATAAAAAATACATTTATTTAGATCATTGTAAATAATAAAATAAAATATGATATCAAATACATAATATTTTATTTTTTTATAAAAAAAAAATTAAAAAGTCAATCTACGTCCAAACGAATCCGTTCTACGTTGTTGGTTCCTCTGAGTTTGCCACTCAAAACAAACGAGCCGCGTAGAAGCATCGACCCACCTCTCTCTGTCTCTCTCGAATGGCAGAGAAAGGTAGATATAGAGAGAGGGGGCGGCGGGGAGAGATAGAGTTTTGTCTGTTAATTCAAAGACAGCTCTGTTCCTGAAACCTCTTCATTGGTAAAAACAAAAGGCTCTCTCTCTCTCTCTCTCTTATCATCGAATTGGGTGTTTTGGGTTTTGGTTATTTGTATCAATTCAATCGACTCTGAATCATCAAATGAAAGCCATTTGGTTTTTACATCATGGTTTGGTGGAATTTTCAGGGTCTGTGTCTGTGGCTGAAATTGATTGGGTAATTTAAGCTGACCCCACTTGCGAATTTTTGGCGACAGAAAGTGAGATTATCAAAATCCCTTATCTGGGTTATGCCCTTTTCGGATATACATGATGTGTTGTTAAGCTGTTCTATCCTCAATCTTGTCTGTGTTTTTTATGGTGTCATAGAGTTGCGTGGTCCTTTAATTACAAGCTTTTTGTTTTTGTTTTTTGTTTTTATTTCTCGGTGGGTTTCAATTTTTAGTTGGAATTGTAGAGGGAATTCAATTTGAAGAATTGGGTTTGGGTCGTTTTCTTGAAAGTGTTTTTGTGTTTTTTGGATTTGTTTTGTGTTTAGGTTTGTGGGTTGGAATCAGATAGAGAAAGAAGGGACAGGGGTGGTGGTGAAAGGGGTTGGAATCAATTGTCAGCTTTAAATGGCTGGTGGACTGGAAATTGAAGATGAAACTGAAACCAAAGGTAGCATGTGGGATTTGGAACAGAAGCTTGACCAGCCCATGGATGAAGAGGCTGGAAGACTCAGACATATGTATAGAGAAAAGGTAAGCTGCTTCTCTCTCTCTCTCTCTCTCTCTCTCTCTCTCTCTGTGGTTTAGTAAACTTTTCTCTTTCTTACCTTTGGTTTTAAATAGACCACCAAGTTGGTAGAATAAGGTAGGAGCTCACTCCATTAGACTTTGTTTGGTCAGTAAGTTGTGTTATGTTTCTAGTATTTTGGATGACATGCTTCCATCCACCACTATTCCCGGCTTTTGCTTGTTAGACCTATGTTACATATAGTCTTTGAAATAAATCAACTATTAACAAGACTTATGTTACATGTACTCTTTAAAATAAATCAACTATTCATGTCGTACGCTGAACCCTTACAAGGTGTGGAAGATGTATCCAATTTATATTTATATTTAACGCTGTCATATATTACATAATTATTATAAGATGAGGAAAATTATTTTTTGGCACTTTTTGTTACATATACAATAATTTTAAAAATATGATATACGGCTTTTTTGTGCTGAGACATGTACCTTAAATTCGAAGTTTGATGAGTCTGACCTTTAGATAAGCATCCTCATCCGACACTTGTAGCCAAGTCATGTAACATAAGCTAGGACTTGGTTGAGGCTGGAATCGGGTTACAGCTCAAGCCCATGTTGAGTGTGCAGTACCCCACTTTGCCACTTTGCTGAGGCTATCTAGCCCCTCCTGTACAGCTTCCCGTAGTTAGGGTTCCTTTGATCACACCTAACGAGGATCGCTACGATTCCCCTCCTACCCTTTTTATCAAGCAAAAATACGTTTAGTTTTAATAGAATTATTGTAGTAAAAATAAATGAGTTATGCTTCTTTGAGGTACAAGATAATTATTTCATAGATTTTGCAAAATTGGTAGCTGAGTGAAGTGATTTAAAGGCTAAACATTTTTATACCTAGCTTGAATTTCTAAATGAGAAGTCTCTGACATCTTCTGAGATTGCCCCATTTGGTGGTGTAACTCTCTGTGTGTGTGTGTGTGTGTGTGTGTGTGTTTTTTTAAATATTTGGTGCAATAACTTAAATAAACTGAAAATTGATTATTTGAATATTGGATTATGCCATTAAATTATTGTCTTTTAGCTTGCACCACTGGTTAAGTTTGTTTAGAGTATTTTGATCTGAAAATGATTAAGATGAAACCATGGAGAGAAGTTAATAAATGTTGTTTATGTTGCATCACTGATGATTTAAAATATTGATGTGCTATATGGAAATGATTGCATATGTTGAGATGTAAATAATTGGTCTTTTTTCTTCTATATTTCCTCCAATTTGGTAAAATTGTAGATTCAAATATCAACAAATTACTAATGATGGTAGTTTAAATACCAGCTTAGCCTAAGAGTAGGTGGGAAATGAATGGATATTATAGCTATATTGTTGTATTATTTCCTGATTTTTTTATTTTTTTTTTTCAAATCCTGCAGAAATTCTCAGCATTATTGCTTCTGCGACTTTCATTTCAGAGTCTTGGCGTGGTCTATGGAGACTTAGGAACATCTCCTTTGTATGTGTTCTACAATACATTTTCTCATGGAATCAATGATCCAGAGGATGTAATTGGAGCTCTTTCGTTGATTATATATTCCCTCACTCTTATACCACTACTCAAGTATGTTTTTATAGTATGCAAGGCGAACGACAACGGTCAAGGTAAGCTGTTCCAAATCTGTGAACTTGGAACAATAAACAGGTAAAAATGAATCTGCTCTAGATTCCAAAAATTGTGAATTAGAATGGGTAGCATGACCTCCTCTAGGCAAATTAGGCTATTGTATCTTAGAAAAATATCTTAGGTTTGGGATACCAAACATGGTAGTTCCTATATTTAAAGTCATTAATCCTTCTTCCAAGGCCCAACTCTACTATTGTATAATCATAGTTGAACTAAAATAGAATATACACTAACCATAGTTCCCTCAATTTTTAAGGAGATTTATTATCACAAGATGGAACTAAATAATGAAGTCGGTTAATAAAAAAGAAAGGGAGAGGGATAGAATGCAAATGGGTAGAAAGCAGTGAAACAATTCTAGGTGCGCAATGTGTAGATATTGATGAGGCACCACTAGAATTATTTTTCCATTGTGCAGGTGGAACGTTTGCTCTTTATTCATTGCTCTGTCGACATGCAAAAATTAAAACAATCCCTAACCAACACCGGACTGATGAGGAGCTGACAACATATAGTCGTAGCACTTTCCATGAGCATTCATTTGCTGCAAAAACCAAGAGATGGTTGGAGCAATATGCATACAGAAAGAATGCTCTTCTTATACTTGTCCTTGTTGGCACTTGCATGCTGATTGGAGATGGAATTTTCACTCCCGCGATATCTGGTAAACCTCCTTGGTTCTTCTTCTTCTTTCTTTCTTTCTTTCTTTCATTCTTCCTTTCTTTCTTTCTTTTTTTCTTTTTTCTAATTTCTTATGGTGAGTACATGCTCCTTCATGCTTGAACCATTTGAAGCGTTTCTAGTTGCCCGTCTACTAATTGATTTACTTGCAAACACATGTTCCAATTATGTCTGTTATCAGAATCTTACGATTCGCAATTCGATTCACGATTCGATTTGCAATTTTTGCAAAATCGATACGAATCTATGGGTGAATTTATTTTGGAAGTAAATCTCTAGTGAATCGCACGATTCACAATCAATTCATGATTCAATTCACTCTTTACAATTCATGCGATTTTTAAAATTATTGTGTCCGACATATTTTTTACTATTTTTTTCTCTGTCTTTTTAGTGAAAATGTCATAATACAACTTCTAATAGCGTTTAATACCAAAATGACCAACATATATACATGATTTGTTATTATTTTAGTGACCATGGAATTTTTAATAGGATCCAATCAGATTCAGTCAAACCCAACATATTTTTAACCTTTCTTCTGATTTTTTTTTCTCTTTAAAAAATCGTAATATATCTTCTAAAGATGTTTAAGATTAAAGTTACACTATGAATTATCTATTGCTATTTTATTAAATTGAATATTATATGTGTGAGGTCAGTTATATCTTTTAAAATGTTTTAGGCTTTAAAATAAAAGATTTTAAATAATTCTTTCTTATTATTCGCTCACTGTTACTTAGAAAAGTATGTAGGCTGATTGTCCAAATATCAATATCGTTGTTAATTATTGTTACTTTAGAAATTGATAGTTTGTCTATTTGGTTATTATCTTTATTAAAAGAATGGTTGATAAGAAATATCGAAAAGAGAAAATAAGATAAGATGGTGATCTTATATAGAAACCTTTTGTTAACTTCGTACCTGTTAAACTACATGATTATCATTCAAAATAACATTTTTATTGATTTAAATCTAAATATTTTATATTCATAAAATATATTTAACATGTAAATGTGTAGATATATGTTTTTAAGTAATTTAGAAAAAGTGACCGAATCTTTACGATTCACGATTCACGATTCAATTCGATTCGCAATTCGGTACAAGGCCATTTCAATTCATGATATGAATCCCGATTTGACAACTATAATATAATGTATTTGTGCATGTGTATCAAAACATACAACTGATGAGACCATGATTTTGTGATGGGCCATGAGTACTGTGACAAAAATATATAGAAAGAATTTTGTTCTCTTTTTCGTGGGTGATCATTCATCTACTTGATTTGTTGTCTGGGGCATCTTCCAGTTTATTCTCCTTAATAAGGCCATACACATCTACATGAGATAAATATACTTTCTTGATGGTAATGGCCTTCTAATCTTCCACTCATATCATCTAAAGAGAATTTTATCTAATCCAGTTTAGATTTAAACCCCTTCTACTCTTCAGAGGAAAGAAATTTTTACGGTATGTTCATACTCAGAGCTGCTTGCTGTTTACATGCTCTTCAGTAGTCCTTGCAATTTGGTACATCACTTCAAAGAGATAAACCCAATCTTTGAGAAGAAATTAATACTATATATAATAGCAATGATAGCCCTATTGAAGTTTGGAAGTGTTTGGGTAAAAAGTGAGTTGGTTGGTTGACTAGGTTGTTTAGTAAAATTTTGTTGACTAGGAACATGCCAGATGAGTGGAGGAAGAGTATTTTAGTGCCAATCTATAAGAATAAAAGTGATGTCCAGAATTGTAACAACTATAGAGGAATCAAGCTAATGTGTCATATAATGAAAGTGAGGGAGAGGGTGATGGAACGCCGATTGCGAGACATAACAGAGGTATCAGAGAATCAATTTGGGTTTATGCCCGGTAGGTCAACAATGGAAGCGATCACATGTATTAAATCAAATCATTATGTGATGAATTGTGAAAATCTTGAATAATTTTTTTATTTTAATGTGTTAATTTTTAATTAGTTACATGTTAAACCGAGATGGTGGAGTAAAAGGAAGAACCGAACTAAGGATAGTCCGGCCTACTCTGTGGCTCAGCCATAGCCAGTTTTATTTTCGGTCATGTTGTGGTTCGGCCATGGTAAAAACCATTCACTTGGTTTAAGCGGTGAGGGGTGTTAAAAGATAAGCATTATCTTTCAAGAGTATGAATCCTAGGAGGGACTCTGCTGTTGAGGAGTAGAAAGTCCTACTAGAAATTGTGTCACTCGAAGCCTAATAAAAGCTCACAAACATCACCTTTAGAGAGGTAACACACAACTTTGCTTTTCTGAATTCACAGAGCTTTTGTCTATTTTGTCAAGTTTGCTGACTTAGGCATCGGAGAGTTTCCGGCACACACCCGCCGGTAGTTCACGTTTTGTTTTCAGGTGATAAGGCCGACGTCGTCGGAGGAGCGCAGACTTAGTCAACAGAATTATACGAGAAGGTTTATTTCTTTCCCGTATAATAAATTAAAAATTCATTATAAAAAGTGATCTTCATTCCTCTTATTATTTAACGTATTTTTATAAAATTCAAAAATAAAGTAATTCCAAACGAACATGCACTTGTAACAAAATTGAGGCGCTACGTGGAGAAATTAATTGGTTGATCTTAGTGATAGCCTCATATGGTATTTTGGGTGTGTTTGATTGGACAGACTGGAAAATGGGGGATTAGAATCCATCGGACTTGAGTCTTGGGCTATGAATCCCCCGGACTATTTGGTCGGATTGGATATGTATCCTGTGTTTGTTTTTTCATGGGATTAGATGTCTGGATAGGACTATTTTCAATGAATCCAACGTTTGGTTGGACGGACTGGATAGGATAAATGAACAAAAGACTATTTTACCCTTTTCAATTGTTTACTAAGTAATAGCAATATTAAACATATTTTTAATTTTTAATTATTTTAATTAAATAAATTCATTTTTTTAAATAAATAAATAAAATATCAATAAAATTTGTTTTAAATCATTACTGTATAAACAATCATTATTTTTTTACATGCAAAACTTTACTGTGTTTGTTTATTTACACAATTAAATAAATTTATTTTTTTCACAATTAATAAATAAATAACCACTAAATTTGATTTAATAAAATATCTGTATAACCTGTAATAAAAAATTATTATTATTTTTTATTAAAATTTAAATAAATTTTAAATAAAACACATATTAAAATTTAATAATGAAATTAAATAAATTATAACAAAATTTTTAAAATAAACATCAATAAAATATCTATAAAAAATTATTTTTAAAAAATTAAATAAATAAAACATCAATAAAAAGTTAAATAAAATTATTTTATTTTAAATTGAGACATTTAAATTTTATTGAATTTTATTAAATATAATACATAATTAAATAGTAGAGGGTCAAAATAGTCATTTTCGCATCTAATCCCAACAGTGAATAGTCCTCACATTCTATCCCATCCCGTCATAATAGTCCCCCATATGGGGGACATGGAGTCCGGCCGCGACTCCATGTCGGCGGACTAAAAAAAAAATCAAACGGCGGATAAGGAATACTATTTGGATTGTAATCCAAATAGTGGATAGTCTCCCCTCCAATCCCCCAATCAAACACGCCTTTGTGTATTGTGACCAGTGGAGGATATAGAATTTATGATTTTATATTTAATAATTGAGAAACATAAAAAGTATGGTGATTTATAGCGTAGGGTGGGCTGTACTAGATAATTACAAGACTCATACCGTATGGTGGGCTGTACCAGATAAGAGACTCCAATCAGTGTTGGGGTACACTTCATTATTGAAATATATGATTAAGTAAATAATTATCACTATCACGATGTCAATAATAATTATTTTTTATGATTATTTAATCAATGGTGTTATATATCTTAATTATTAGTGTATCAATGTATATTATAAACTTTAAAATGTAGACCTTATTTATTATATAAATTATAAAAATTTAAAATAAATAAAATTACTATATTACATCATTTATAAATATATTAACTAATATAACAATTGATACCTGTAATTTTATCTTATTTAATTCTCAAATCCAATTTCTTTAATAATTATTATCTTACCAAATCAATTATTACTTTGTTTTTATCAAAAAATAATTAGTAGGCTCTATTTAGGACGATTTTTAATTAAGGGATGTTTTCTTATATAATCTATCTTTTTATTTTTTTTTTATCACATTACTTTTTATTTTTCTGTACTTCTTCCTCATAAAAAAATAAAAATACATTTATTTAGATCATTGTAAATAATAAAATAAATATGATATCAAATACATATATTTTTATTTTTTTATAAAAAAAAAATTAAAAGTCAATCTACGTCCAACGAATCCGTTCTACGTTGTTGGTTCCTCTGAGTTTGCCACTCAAAACAACGAGCCGCGTAGAAGCATCGACCCACCTCTCTCTGTCTCTCTCGAATGGCAGAGAAAGGTAGATATAGAGAGAGGGGGCGGCGGGAGAGATAGAGTTTTGTTGTTTAATTCAAAGACAGCTCTGTTCCTGAAACCTCTTCATTGGTAAAAACAAAAGGCTCTCTCTCTCTCTCTCTCTTATCATCGAATTGGGTGTTTTGGTTTTGGTTATTTGTATCAATTCAATCGACTCTGAATCATCAAATGAAAGCCATTTTGGTTTTTACATCATGGTTTGGTGGAATTTTCAGGGTCTGTGTCTGTGGCCTGAAATTGATTGGGTAATTTAAGCTGACCCCACTTGCGAATTTTTGGCGACAGAAAGTGAGATTATCAAAATCCCTTATCTGGGTTATGCCCTTTTCGGATATACATGATGTGTTGTTAAGCTGTTCTATCCTCAATCTTGTCTGTGTTTTTTATGGTGTCATAGAGTTGCGTGGTCCTTTAATTACAAGCTTTTTGTTTTTGTTTTTTGTTTTTATTTTCTCGGTGGGTTTCAATTTTTAGTTGGAATTGTAGAGGGAATTCAATTTGAAGAATTGGGTTGG